GTTACTTGGAGAATTATAATACTAAGAATCATCAACGAACATGTGTATTTAAGACAGAGCAGGAACAATAATATGAAGTGAAAATTATGAAAATTGGTTCGACAGATTACGTGGTTCCTATAAAATTTTAGAATAAATTGAAATACAAATAAATATTAAACTATATTTAACCTACCGTTCACGAAATTTTTCCGACACTTCATTCGTAACAAGCAAATGGTTACTTTTTTGATTTAAGGTTTTGTTTGATAGATGATAAAATTTTTGGCATACCCTGTTGAGCTGTAATAAAGTATATACGTCACATAAATCAAAAATTATTAGGAATATTTCGTTCGGTAAAATATCTACGAGAGACATATTTGTCTTTTTAATTGGACGTTATCACACAAGAATATGAACACTACAGTATGACAATCGGTATGTGCACTGAACGATACACTAGAACCTAGAATCAGAGTTGCTAGAACGATACACCGGAGCCTGATCACTGACATTTATACTGTAGGCTGCTAATATCAGACTGGCGTCAAATCTATAATGAACTCCACATATTAAATTCTCGCGCATGTCAGAACGCTGATGGACAGCAGTTACCTTTTAATTGGTGGATGAATTTAAATGTTATGAATATAATATAATTTGAATCACCACCCGAGAAAAAATGGTATAATATGTTCAGATGTAAATATATATAATTAGTTATGAAAGATCTAAGATGTAATATTTTATATGATCATATAAAATTACATATGTTATTAGATTTTTTTGTAACTAATTATTTATATTTATATCTGATCAATTATATCATTTTTTCTCGGGAAGTTTAAAAAAATATAATTTATTATTATTATTCTTTATATGTGTTAGATTAATTTATTATTATTATAATAAGTATATATATATATATATATATATATATATATATATATATATATATATATACGTCAACCCATTTGTATCGAAATATACAATTTAAAATTTTTTACATCCCAGCGGATTCATAAACTATTAAACGAAAAAGATAATTTTGTGAACAGTAATTTGAGTTAATTTTTGGTCTAAAAATAATCGTGGAGATGTGTGTGAAAGCGAGCATTATCAATACATATTTACGTAGTACTCTCGAGTATCGCTTACCATTCCTGGGATTTTTAAACCACTCCCCACGTGACCGAGAGTTTCATATTTCCGGAACAAGGAATTTTTCTCAAGTCGCATCTGGTGGTCGTCGACGTTACAAAGCGGCTTCGTCATGCCGTGGCGTAATGATGCGCGAGTTCGTAAATCGCGAATCGCTGTCTTCATTAAAGTTTACGACGCCCTTTCAGCCGGCCTAAGCCTACGGAACTAATTACAGCACGAGTGAGGAATTTTAAAAATTACGCGACTTCCCCTGTATCGTGGTGTCCATGACGAGAGAATAATACTGTAATGCCGGTGAAGTATTAGCCGCGTGAAATTGTCAACGCTAAAGAATGTAACGAAACGATTTTACGGTTCGACAGCATGCGTTCCGATCTTATGTGCAACTAAAATACCGATAAGATAGTAAAATGTAGATATGTTTCGAAGGAAGAAGAGAAACAAGAATTGTATTAAACAATGCATTCACTGTAATTCTCGATTGGAAGTTGAAATCGGTACAAATATAATTTTTTACAAATATTGACAAATATATATTGACAAATATAATTTTTTATGTCAAACGAAAAGTGAATCCTACATCATTAGTCGCGTTTCATTTAAAAATAAAACATAAATAAAAAGAGTAAGGATTATTGTCACGTGCATGAAATCATCAAACTCTTAAGTTGTAACAAATGTAATCTTTATTAGCAATCGCGTACATAATGCTATCTCATCGGATTCATTTTTTGCATTTACATGCAGTTTCGCGCAGATAATGCAACGCGCTCTTGCAGTCACGATTTCCCAATCGCGCACGGTCGTGGAAGTGAACGTGTAGAGGAGTGAGAGAGGAGGGATGTACTGTCGGCGGGGGATTGTATATGTGTGTATAGAGAGGGAGGGCAGAGGGGAAGAAGGCAGAGAAGAGGGAACACAGAGGGGCATAGCCACGCTCGCACGCGACTTACGCATGCGCCTGTAAACGCATACACAGGCATGCATAACATACGTGTTATAGATCCGATATCGCATTATTATTAAATTCTAACGCAAAGAAAAAAAGAGAAATAATATTGAACGGCCGCTCGAGAGAGCCGCATTTATATTTTCGCCGTCGCATTATCTCACGTAATTGCAAAATTAAATCAGAGCGTGTCGCGCTGTAAAATTAACAAGTCCCAATATGCGCGACGAATTTTAATCACTATGAAGAAATTTTTTCAGACGGGAAGATCATTATCTTCTCCAATTTCTTTTTCCTACCTTTTTCTCGCTCTCGCAAGTCCCCTATGTGTAAGACGTAAAAAACTTGGCTGCGAGATTATATGAATTTAAAATACGCTTAACTCGCGTCATGAGCCTCGACTCGAATTAATTCGTGTCATTAACGGTAATACTGGTGAACAACAACTCTTGAAATAACAATGTTTACGTTACTGCGTAACGTAAGAGAGAAAATTCAAAATTTAATTTTATATATTCCATTTTGGTAGTTCCATCTGCTGTCGCGTCGCGCTGTTTTAATTTATATTATACTTCGTTATTTTTCATTCTGCTCTCCGTGAAGAGATTAATCTCGTCCCGCATCGTCCCCGCGCCCACCTCCCTCTCCCGGACCATTCCTCCCTTTCTCCTCCTACCGCACGGCCCGGGTCGACTCTTTCCGAACCTCTCTCTCCTCTCACCTACCCGCGCCATCGACTGGATTCAATTCACTTTTCTCCAAAGAGCAACTCTCGCTGGGCGACTTCTCGCCTCGTTTATTTACTTCTTCCGGGTCGTACTAGGCGTTTCCGAATATGAGCAGATTCGCATTCGGTAATAAGGAACAATGCAATACAAATCTATAATCTATCTGAATTTTTCCTTAAGTACGTAAATATTGCGTACTTATTTTATCGATTTATTTGTACGTGTATTTTCTGAATTTTTGGTTTTTAAAATTACAGTGGTATTACATTGATATGATAAAATTTAAAAAATTAATATTTTTAATAAAATAAAATATAACATTTTAATTTATAAAATAAAAAGATATATATATATAGATTATATAAATAAATATTAATATTAATATTTAAGAAGCGTGGTTATTTACATAAAATGTAGTAATTTGAAAATGTCGAGAAAGAGATCACAGTATTGTATGCAAAGAGTTTAGAAATAAAATGTAAGCAAACATAATTTTTTCCTTGGAGAATATTTTAAAACACAGTTGGAGAGAGAGAGAGAGAGAAAGAATGAATGGAAGAAACAAGAAAATGTAGCAAAGAGGAGAGGAAATGCGAACACGAAGGGAGCGTTAGAGACAAAAAGCTGTTCCACGGATGGCGTGGCTATGTACGTGCATTCCTGGCGACACACTAGGGACGTCGCGTTAAATAAACTGACACTCAAAAAGCAAGCGGCTTGACAGTTCGAAGGCGCGCACGCGAAAATCAGAAATCTCTGGGGAGGCGCTTTTGTAATCAGTTTCGAGTGCGGTTCGAAGGAAAATGATTCGCCGGTATGAAAACGACGATATTGATTTCGCATCTTGAGAGGATCAGCGATTTTCTAATTACCGCGCTGTTTATTTTTTACATACACCATCATCAAAAAGATAACGATATTTGTGCAGCGAATTAACAGTATTCGCCGACGCAAGTCAGCACAAAGTGCAAACACGCGGACTCGGTCAAATGTATTTTGTTCCATCGCTCCGACTGTCAACGTCGATAATGCATTCGAGGAAAATCGCGGGATTGTGTGTACACCCAGTTTCTATTAAGTCGAAGAAACAACGCGAGTCACTCACCCTTTCTCCGTGTGTGTTAGAGCGGCGCGCGCGCGCAAGAGTGAAGAGGGGGGGGAGAAAAGAGAAAGAGAGACAAGGAGCGATTTCCCGCCTTGTAGATGTATACACGCCGATTGTATCTCATCGTGTCGCGCAAACGATGCCCGCTTAGAGTCACACATTCATGAAACGTATGCATGCGTATAGTACATGCGTTTTTCTTGCACTGTCTCTTGCGCGAAGAGTGTATCAGCGCGCGCGCAATCACGCGCGATATATCGCGCGCAAGAGAGGAGCGGTTACGTTTATATTACATTTTGTCAAAGCGACGCGAGATCGATAAAAACTTTCTCCCCCCTCCTCTCTCTCTCTTTCTCTTTCTCTCTTCTTGCCCACCCCTCGCAGAGCGCGTATTATTTTTCAGAACGGTTCAATTTACCATTCTCTTTCTCTCTCTCTTTTTTACAATAAACGACGGATATTTTATCACTTTTTTGTTTGCTTGTTTTGCAACTCGGTCTCGCGTCAGGCAGGAGGAGCGGGCGATCGATAGAATGAACGAGAATGGCGGACAGGAATTTTCGGAGGCACGCAATAATGCAATGTGATCGAACGTTTTATTATCCTGAAAATACAGTCGTCGCATCGTGATCCGTCGAGCCGCGACACGCGGCGCGGAATGATTATCGTAACTATCATGAACGTGCAACAGATACGCCGTTATCGCCGCTTTACCCGGTTCATCCGTACCGCGAAGGTGGGCAAACAATTTTTTTTTACAACACGATAATTAATAATATGGCGGAAAATATAAATATCGCTATTATAAATATTTGATTGCCGCTCTTGGCACCGAAAATTCTCAATGTCGTTCGCGTTGACGTACATATGTGATTAAAAATCCACGAGCGAGAGAGACAAGGCCCGCCGTTACGATCTTATAAATCAACATTATTATAAATCACCGTTTCGCGGCAAAGTTAAGCAGACTGACACGTATACAGTCGCATCAGATAGAAGGCACCGTGATTCTCGTGTCGCAATTTATCACATGTTATAACGTTGAAATAATTTTGGAGACGATAATATCGCATCGAGCGATTTATGCTTGCGAAAAATATCAAATGTACATTGCGTTATCGTTATTTTTTAAATTAACGATTATATCAGCAAGAACGCATAATTAATTCGCAACATCGAGTTCAATAAATTAATTAGACACGCGTTTTTGTTGAAATATTGATTTTTTATTATTCAGACATGTTATTAAAGTTATGGCATCATTTCTTCCAAGATTAAGAAGCAAAACACGAAATTTCGTCATTCGCGATAGTAATCGCGCAATCGATCACGATTACAATCCATCTGCGAGCTCGCAAACCCGAAATGTGGCGTGTAAACAATAAAAATTCGATTATTCATTGGAAGAAAAAACATATGTTTTATAAACTCGCATCACGCGCAATAAAACGCGCATTACAATCTCTAACACAATCGGCCAATATACAACGTGTCGCTTTAGACAAAACCGGTTTCTATCGTGTGAGAATCGACGAGAAAAATGCGCGGGCGAATGTCACCACGGCATCGTGATGAGATATTTCACCGTTCCTTATTATTTATTAAAGTTTATCGCCATTTGTGGCATTAACAAAATATCATCTGTCAAATACGAAAGAGGCGAAGACACGATCTTGACAGATGGACCGTCCTTTCGGGCTAGGTTGACGCAATAATAGAATGCATTTTCCATTTGTCCAATTCCCAGCAGTAATTACATCGGGCATCTCTATCGGCTTTGCCGTCGCGCATCGCCCTCCGTTCTCTCAGTTTCCCTCATCCATCCTCTCGCTGCATCTTTCCCGCTTCCGCCCCGCACCCCATCCCGTCCCGAACGTCGCCGTCAAAGCAAAAATTGCTTCTGTATACATTTTCGGTGGATTTTCTCGCACCGCGCCGCTTCCCGGGACTCGTTATAAAAATAAAGATTTGTTTCGGGCGTGGATCAAAAAGCTGTACTTTCAAGGCTTTCGGAAGTCGGACTGAAACGTTTAATTAGCGGGATCGATTAGAGTATTCTTATTGACATCGCCGTGATACAACGCAAAGCGAGGACGAAGACTTAATTAAGGTTAATACGAGAGGCATTATTTAACAAGCAGGAAGCGGTAGTTTCGTCGATGCGGAGTGTATCGATTTTAGCGACACGTGCAAGGGACTCTCGCCTCAGTCGATCCCCCGTGTATGAATACTTATCGTCGGTCGAACAATTTTCCCACTTAACCCCGATTCGGCGAGGCTCCAGACAATTCTTTACACAGGGAACGCGCTTTGGAAATGAGTAAGAAAAATAGTGAGATGAAATCGGCATTGTCGCGATCACAATGCAGTCGAGCGGTCGACTGCAGAGCAATTTTGTAATTGTATGCAAATCCGGGAAGCT